TAAGTGCAGAAAACCGACAGCACCTCTCAAGATGACTCGAACGATACGATTGGTTTTCGCGATTCTAGATCGAGCAGCAGACCGAGTTGAGAGCTCTGGATTCAACAGACAAGCGCAACTGATGATTCTAAATCGGTTCCTCTAAGTATTAGCTCTCTAGCTGTCCTACAGCTCGAGTTTAGTACAGAAAACCGAGAGCGCCTGTCAAGATGACCCGAATCATACGAACAGGTTTGCCGACCTAGCTCGGCTAGCAGACCGAGTTCAGATCTCTGGATGCAACGCACGAACGCGCCTGATCATTCTGAATCCATACGCTGTGCTTACCAGCTCTGTAGCTGTCCTGTATCTCGAGTTAAGTCCAATATACCAAGAGCGCGTATCAAGATGACTCGAAACGGCCGATCCCGCCTGGACGCTTTTTGGCAGTAAAAGGTGCCCGATCGAGCTGAGATCAAGATGGCGAGCGGGAATAAAATCGAATATCACGGGAAAAAAATACTAGAGCTCTAACGAATGGTTGAATTTCGAGAACAAAATTTTCAACCGACCAAAAGTCAGCAAAAGGTCCGTCGAGATTTTTCTTGCCAACTGGCTATCCAGCGCCCCGGAATTACTCTTAAGCTTCCAGCAACAACTGGGCGCCGGCGGTAAGCCGTCAACCTTTCTAACGGCCGGGGGACTCGTAGAGCTTCCTGAGAATATAATGTCGAAAAACAATTGCAGAGAACGAGTAGTTTTTCAGCCCAAGCGATTTCAGACCTCTCGATGCAACAGCCGAACGCCCCCGATGCTTCTAGATTGTTTTCTGCACGAGCTCTGTAGCTCTCCTTCAGTTCGAGTTGCGTGCGTAAATCGACAGTACCTCTTAAGATGACTCGAACAAAACGAATAGTTTGGCAAAGCCTGCTCGAGTATCAGACCGAGTTCAGACCTCTGAATGCGATCGGCGGACGCGTCTGATGTTTTCGAATCGATTCCTGTGATTACCAGCCCTGCAGCCCCCCTACAGCCGAGTTGAGTGCAGAAAACCGCGAGCACCTCAGGATGACTCGAATCATACGAATAGTTTCGTGGACCTAGTTCGGGCAGCAGACCGAGTCCGAGCTCTGGATTCGACAGGCGGACGCGCCTGATGTCTTCAAATCGATTCTTGTGACCACCAGCACTGTAGCCCCCCAACAGCCCGAGTTAAGTACAGAAAACCGACAGCATCTCTCAAGATGACTCGAACAATAGAAATAGTTTCCCGATTCTAGATCGGGCAGCAGACCGAGTTCAGAGCTCTGCATTCAACAGACACGTGACTGATGATTCTGAATCGGTTTCTGTAAGTATCAGCTCTGTAGCTGTCCTATAGCTCGAGTTTAGTATAGAAAACCGAGAGTGCCTGTCAAGATGACTCGAATAACACGAATAGGTTTGCCGACCTAGCTCGGACCGAGTTCAGACCTCTAGATGCAACAGACGAACGCGCCTGATCATTCTGAATCGATGAGGTGTGCTTATCAGCTGTGTAGCTTTCCTGTCTCTGAACTCGGTCTGCTGCCCGATCTAGAATCACGAAACTATTCGTATTGTTCGAGTTATCTTGAGAGATGCTGTCGGTTTTCTGCACTTAACTCGGGCTGCAGGGAGGCTAGAACGCTGGTAGTCAGAGGAATCGAGTTGGAGACATCAGGCGCGTCCGCCTGTCGAATCCAGAGCTCGGAACTCGGTCTGCTGCCCGAACTAGGTCCGCGAAGCTATTCGTATTGTTCGAGTCATCCTGAGAGGTTCTGTCGGTTTTCTGCACTTAACTCGCGCTGTAGGGTGGCTGCAGGGCTGGTAATCACAGGAATTTTGGAGACATCAGACGCGTCCGCCTGTCGCATTCAGAGGTCTGAACTCGGTCTGATACTCGAGCTAGGTTTGCCAAACTATTCGTAGTCTTCGAGTCATCTTGAGAGGTGCTGTCGATTTACGCACGTAACTCAGGCTGTAGGAGAGCTACAGAGCTCGCACAGAAGACAATCCAGAAACATCGGGGGCGTTCGACTGTTCATCGAGAGGTCTGAAATCGCTTGGGCTGAAAACTATTCGTTCTCTGGAATTCTTTTTTCGACATTATATATTGTCAGGAAGCTCTACGAGTCCCCCGGCGGTAAGAAAGGTTGACGGTTTACAGCCGGCGCCCAGTTCCGGCGCGCTGGAGAGCTAGTTGGCAAGAGAAATCTCGATGGACCTTTTGCTGAGTAGCTCGTAGAGCTTCCCATAGCTAGTTGCTGGAAGCTTAAGAGTAATTCCGGCGCGCTGGAGAGCTAGTGGCAAGAAAAAGCTCGACGGACCTTTTGCTGACTTTTGGTCGGTTGAAAATTTTGTTCTCGAAATTCAACAATTCGTTTGAGCTCTAGTAGTTTTTTCTGACCATATTCGATCTCATTCCCGCTCGCCTTCTTAATATCAGCTCGATCGGGTAATATTTCTGCAAAAAAGCGTCGCGGCGGGATCGGCTGTTTCGAGTCATCTTGATACGCGTTGTCGGTATTTTGTATTTAACTCGAGCTATAGGGCAGCTACAGAGCTGATTGTCACAGAAATCGATTGCGAATCATCAGGCGCGTTCGTCTGTTCCATCAAGAGGTCTGAACTCGGTCTGCTGCCTGAGCTAGATACGAGTAAACAGAAGACTAAGCAGACGAACGATACTACTAATACTAATAATAATACGAAGCAAACACATAATAAAACTACTATTAAGAAGAATCAGACGAAGACGAAACTACTAATGATAATAAGAGTACTAAGCATACGAATAATAATACGAAACATAATATTGCTGATACTAGTAATACTAATATTCATAATCATATTATTCATAATGATAACAGTGATAAGACTAATACGACGAATAAGACGAACACTATGAATACTACGGCTAAGAAGAAGACGAATCAGAAGAATATTAATAATAATAATAATAACAATAATAATATTAATACGAATAATAACACTCATAATAATACTAATCATGATAGTACTCATAATTATATTATTAAGACGAATAAGAAGAATACTAATAATACCAATAATAATACTATTACGAAGAAGAATACTAATAATACTACGAATAATAATAATACGAAGAGAAAGAATAATAATAATAATACTAGTAATACTAATAATAATAATTCGAAGAAGGAGAAGAGGAGGAGGAGGAGGAGGAGGAGGAAACGGAGCACGAGGCGGAGGAGGAGGCGGAGGCGGAGGAGGAGGAGGCAGAGGAGGAGGAGGAGGAGGAGCAAAAAGAGGAAGAAGAGGAATAAGAGGAATAACAGGAATAATAGGAATACTAGAAATACGAATCATACTAATAATACTAATGAAAAACAATTGCTGAGACAAATAATGATAATACTAATCGCAATAATATGAAGAATAACGATAACAATAATAATAAGAATAGTAATACTACGAAAACTAATAATAATATTAACCAGACGAAGAAAGCGAACACTAATTTGGGTAATAATAGTCACGATTCTACGAATAATCATAAGACTGATACTAATACTAACAGTATTCATAATCATACTACTAATAATAATAACACTAATACTAATAATAATAAGAAGACTACTACAAACGAATAATCATAACAATCATCAAACAACTAATACTAATAGTAACAAGAAGAGGAGGAGGAGGAAGAGGAGGAGGAGGAAGAGGAGGAAGAGGAGGAGGAGGAGGAAATCGAGGAGGAAAAGGAGGCATAGGAGGAATGTGGGTCGCGGTGAGCTGTATCTTCAATGCGAGGACCCAACTCAACACATGATGGATGGGAAGTATCGGCTGTCCACTTACACGGGGCATTGGAGGCGTACCGCCAGCAACAAGTAGAAGCGGATCGATATCCGAGGCCGAAGCACAAGGCTATTGTGCCGTCGGGGCGCGGTCCTGACGACTGCAAGCTGTGAGTGGCCCTTTCCCCTCCCTTGTTTTCTGGTCCTGCCCCCCCCGTTATTGTCATCATGGTCCTGTCTTGCTCCTCTTTGTCGTCGGCTTCGTCGTTAGTCTTTTGTCCTCAGTCTCTCTGTCTCTCTCTGTTTCTCGGTGCCCCCTCTTCCCGCCGTAAGCTGGCAGAAGTTCTGCTGCGTTGAGTGAGGAGTTCCAGGTTTCCAAACACAGAGTTGTTTCTATTTAGCCCTGGGTAACTTTTCTGCAGGTGGACAATGCTCCGCAGTTCGGCCTCGCCACACCTCCTTCCATGTGCCATCAAACATGTCGGAATTGACCGATTGCAATGAGAGTGTGTTTCTAGATTGGGTTGGCCAGCGAGTGTTCTACGTGAGCGAGTGCACGGAAAAGGCATAGCGTTGCCGTTGTCTTTGATTTTGAGCCGGACCCTGTTACTGGCAACGAAACATCGTCACGTTGTGGCGGTCGGTTTGCTCATTTGGTGCACTCCATTCACGATGGTGGGACATATATTCCATGTGATGATTATTGGCTTGGTCGCTGGCGACTCGGCCAACACATTGAGGACTGCTTGCATTCATGCATTTAGTGGGCTCCTCGCCGTTTGGGTTCGTGATGAAAAGCTAATTTTTCCACGGGGTGCCGTGGGTCAAGAGGCTGGTGAGATGGACCACCTGCCGATACCCACTGGCAGGATCGTTCTCTCCGTGTCAGACTGTTGAAGGGCATGCGAAGGAGGTTGATATGGAGCACGGAGGGCACACGGGGGATTGGAGGAGTAGGGGAAAAGCACGAGTAAGAGGATCGTTGCTCGTGTGACCCATGCGGTGGCTTATCGCTGCGCAGTATGTTTCGATCAGGACGGGAGCTTGCTGATTGACTAGGTTCACGCTCTAACGCAGGGGGATCTTCGCTGTGCATTGTAGCTCTTTATCATGCGATCAATGGCCTGGTACGGAAGCCGTATTTAACAGCCAGGGTCGCCTGGAGTGTGGTGGCGTTTTTAAGTTTATCGCTTGCTGTCTCAAGTCGTTGCATCCAAGGAGTGGTGGCGATACTACATTGTCGAAGTACCGCACGACGATGATATTGTTCCGATTTGCTTTTGCAAGTGGCCATCCCCATTGCATTGAGTAGAATTCTACTTTCTTATTGCCGTGTTTCAATGCGGTCATTCGCATTTTATTAAGCCCGCAGAGCGGGAGTCACGGCGGGCCCCAGAAGTGAAACGAGAACGCACCTCTCGAAATCAGTGGGTGTTCGAAGGCACTGTTTCGGCGATGGTCGTTACCTATCGTTGCAATTTTTCTTTGGGGTGGCAACTGCGTCTTTTGGGTGGTAGGTTGGAGCTAACAGTGCGCTTTCGGGGGTCCATGAGGCACGAAGTGCACGAGGGGTCTGGCGACTTGAGGATCCTAGGAACAGTCGTGGGGAGCCAGCCGAGGACTTCTGAGGGTCCATGTTGCACGAACCGAGTGAGGGGTGCGCCGACTTGAGGGAACATGGGCCCTCCTCAAAGAGCCAGCTGGGCGGCTCTTGAGGCCCATGACCCATGATGCATCAAGGGTAGTGAACCTCCCAAGAGAATGGAGGTACGACTTTGTATCTGTGCGTGTTCTGCAGGCGTAGCCCAGGACTGCCGATCCACTGTGATCTTCGTACCCCAGTAGCCGAAGCATGCGGACCACTTGTAGGTTTGCGCGTCCCAGAATAATCGTGGGACGGAAGGAAGCGACGCCGTCCTTGGCGCGCATGTACGCATGCACTCGGCGCCACCTAAACATACTAATGCTATGTGTGCGTCACCCCCAACAGGCGACGCGCGCGCCGGGAAATCTTATAGTATATGCTCCGTGCCGGGCGCTTTCGGGAAACGAACTACTACAAGATGGTTGTAGTATCTGTTTGGGTCGGACGCACGCCTTCAAGGAGGCCACATAGTACTAGTTTGTCGTTGTGCGTCCCATGAAGTCTCACCAGCCCTCAATCCCATCATCATTCCGTTATGTGTCTTCGGAGCCCAACGCGGCCAGGGCCGGAGTGGCCCGCTGGCCTGAGCCCGCAGAGCGGGGTTGACGGCGGGCATCCATGGGAACCTTGCACGTAGATTTTGCAGTCGCTGGGTGTTTGGGGTATTCGGCGGTATGCGAGGGGGGGAAGTGACGTAGAAGGCCTTCTTAGAAGGCTGCTGGATTTCTCAGAAGCCCTCGCGCCTTCTGAAAGGTTTTCTGTGTCTTCGGGGAAGGCTCATGACATTTTTCATAAGGCCGCGGGACTCCCGAGCCTTCTGAGAAGGCCTTCTCCTTCTCGCTTCCCTCCTAGGCTCGCCGCCGATGTATGGCTTCGCCGGGTGTCGAAACCACTCGTTGCAATTTTTCTCAGGGCCATCTTAGCGTCCCTGTTGGGCCCAGGCGGTTCTGGAGCCAGCAGACGGCCTCTGGGGGGCCTATTGGGCACCACGCGTGAGAGGGGGGTGCCGAATCGAAGCTCTTTTGAGCCGTCTGAGGGGCAAGCACAGGGTCCCTGGGGCCCTTGGGGTCCAGAGGCACGAGATGCCCAGGAGGTGTGCCGAATGGAGGCCTCAGGGAGCCGTGCTGGGGACCAGCTGGGCTCCCATGCTGCGCGACTTGCGTGTGGGGTGTGTGAAGTTGAGGCCTTGGAGCGCCTACCATTCGTATTCCAGAATCTCTTGGCGTCTCAGGAGAAATCCGCCGGCGGACTGCGTGGAGCTGCTCGTAGCAAGCGTCCATGCATGCAACCTTATCAGTTCTCAACCTTCAGGGTTCAACATGGCGAGGGCCTGCAAGGGGCCAGCCGACTTGAGCCCGCAGAGCGGGAGTCTTGGCGGGCGCCTGGGGGAAACTCGCAGGCAGATTTTGCAATCGCGGGGTGTTCGGTGTATGATTTCGACGAGTGTCGAAAGAACTCGTTTCAATTTCCCCGGGGCCATCTCGGCGTTCCTTGGGGGGCCAGACGGTCGGAGAAACTAACAGGGGGGGCCTTTCGGTGGTCCATGGGGTACGAGGTGTGTGAGAGGTCAGCCGAGGGCCCCTGGAGTATATGAGGCACGAAGTGCGTAGGGTGAATGCCGTAGGGTGAATGCTGAACTGAGGGCTGTCTTGGAACCGCCTTGGGGCCTGTCCCCCACTGGCCTTCGCTGTGGGACCGCTCTTGGGCCCTTTCGGGGTTCTCCTGTAACCCTCTTGGGATTCTCTTGGGGAGTCTCAGGGTCCGCTCAGGGCTCTTTTGGTGCCTCGTTGGGCCCACCACGGAGGCGGAGAATCTTGTTGGAACCTGCAGATGCAGGAATTCCGATCCGACATCATCGAAATATTTGGTTCCCGGCCATCTTGGTAGACCTTTGGGGGTCTCGGCGGCTATCAGGCGCCTCACTGGGGCCTCTCAAGGGCCTTTCAGGAACTGCTGGGGATCTTTAAGTGTTACTCGGGTGCTGTCTTGGACCATCTTAGGGTCATTTCGGAGCGTTTTGGGGCTGTGCTGGGGCCATCTTGGTGCCTGTCTCAAGCTGGCCCCCGCTGTTTGGCCGCTCTCGGGTCCTCTTTGGGCTCTGCTGGAGGTCCTCCAGGAGGGGTTCGGAGCCCTCTCGGGGCTCTTGTGCGGCCCTCTTGGGGCCACGTCGGGTCCCGAGAAGCCCATTGATTCGCATGAACCGCTTGGGAGCGTCCGCCTTAGAGCTGGTCGGCCGTCTTTGGCCATCTGTGCAGTCCATAGGGCTGCCTTGGACCATCTTGGGCCATCTTGGGGCCACCGTGGCACCGTCTTGGAGCCCGTCTAGATGCCATGCGGGGGCCGGCATGGGGTATGACACGGTTTGGCTCGTGCTGTTGGGGCGCTCTATGGGGCAATTCATGCCATACACTCTTCATGCTTCAGTATCGCTTGTTTGTTCGTGATCGATACTCGACGCCCACGTGCCATGTTGCTTCAGCGGGCGTTACTTGCACCAGTTGATGTGTCATGCTGGGATGGCTGGCGTGTGCTACTTAGTGAACGCGATTGTGTTAGTAGGCATCGGTTGGCACTTTTTGTGAAGGTCGAAGTGTCCTCTGGCTCACGCGCGTGTCCTTTAACATTGATTGTGGCGAAGTTGGGCAGCCATTTGTACGACAGCATGGAGCTTTCATGCGTCTTCAATGATGCTCATACGAAATTAGTGTAAACACTATATAAGGCGTTTCGGAAAGGGCGTCGGCTGCGAGGGGCCAAGGAGTCGGTTTCTCTTCTTTGGCGGAAGGCGGCGGAAGTTTGGTTGAAGCCCGCGGAAGTAAAGCGGGGGCAGTTCTGCCTTTGGAAGCCGGCGGAAAGCCGGCGGAATCCGGCAGAAGTAAGCGTGCGTCTCCAAGAGATCCTACCTTTTGGTTCAGGTCTTGCGGACCTCTCTCTCTCTCTATATATGTTAAGTGTGGGTCTCATACTATCATAGGGAAACGAAAATTGACATAAACATAAAAACTCGGAGGTCCCGGCGGATTTCTCGGATCGGCGCTGCAGCCCCCCTGGCGGCGCCTCCAGCGCCGCCGGTGGTGCGCTCCGCGCGCCAGGGAGGGGGGTCCAGCGCCGATCCGAGAAATCCGCGCGGACCTCCGAATTTTGATGTTTCTGCAATTTTTCGTTCCCCTACCAGCAGGTACCCTTTTTGCGGGTGGTCCTCTCAAGCTCTCCGCCGCCTCTGGCGGTGTGCGCTGGGAGCAGGAACACAGCAAAGCCACAGGAGAGCGCGGCATTGACAGTATAGCTTCGCACACGTGACAAATGTTAACGAGCAAGAGGACGGCAAGGCCCCAGGAGAGCGAGGCATTGACAGTGTAGCTCAGCATTGCCACGGTAGTGGCCGGGAAGCCCCCGCGTGGTGCCTTCCCTCCACAAGCCCAGCCCGGCGCCCGTGGGCGCCCGGAGAGGCCGCTGCTGGGCTCCCCGAGGACAAACCTGCACGTGCCGGCGCTCGCCCCGCCCCTCCGTTTGTGCCGTCGCCGGCGCCGGAGGAGGAGGAGGAGGAGGAGGAGGAGGAGGAGGAGGAGGAGGAGGAGGAGGAGGAGGAGGAGGAG